ATATATTAACTCATTTAATCTTCACAATAATCATATGATTGGGTCGCCTGGGTGGCTCAGTCAGTTGAGTGTCCAACTTTTGATTTCCCCTCAGTTCATGATCCCAGGATTGTGGGATCCAGCTCTGTACTGGGCTCCATGCTAAGTGTGAAACCTGCTTAAGATTCCTTCTTTCTCTGCTCCTTTGCCCTGTTCACACACATTCTCTCTCTCTCTCTCTCAAAAAGTAATTTAAAATATATATATATATATAACCATCAAACCAGAATTCTTTATCAAGTGAAAAAGTATCCATACACACACACACACACACACACACACACACACACACATATAGTAATCATATGACTTAGTTAATATCACTATCACCATTTTGTGAATGGAGAAGCTGAGGACAGAGAAGTTAAGAAAGTTGTAGAACCAGGATTTAAACCCATGGCTTGTGCTCTTAATTGCTACACTACTGCACAAAATATAGGTTAACTCCAGTTCATCCAATACTATAACTTAAAAACAAACAAAAAAACATTAGAAATCCAACGAAAAGTAATACATCTAAATTTTAGTGAGGAGCTTTAACATATCTGTTTTAGTAAATTAATACATCAAGCAAAAGAAGGATAAGTATACAGAGGGTTTCAATTACACAATTAACAAGATACATAATAGATACATAGATAAGTTTTGTACCCAACTAGGAGAGAATATTCAATCTTTTTAAACACACATGGAACATTTACCAAACAACTATCAGGACACAAAATCTCAACAAATTCCAAAAAAGGAGATCAACAAATTCCAAAAAAGGAGAACATACAGACTTACTCTCTAAATAAAATAAATAATAAAATTAGAAATTCACCAGAAAAGTACACCTAACATTTATCTAACTAAAAACTTTAAAATATCCTTTTAAATTATTCTTGGATTAAAGAGGAAATTAAAACTAAAACTACAAGCGAATTAGAAGTGGATGAGAAACTGGAGCAATATTTTGGGCATGTGCCCTAAGTGGTCCTCAAAGAAAACTTTATAGCTTTAAATGCCTTCATTAGGAAACAAGAAAGACCTAAATAAACTACAACACAACACACAAGAAATAAAATATAATGAAACAAAAACTAGAGGTCAATTCTATTTATGAAAATAAAGGCAAAAATCCCAAAGTACTAGCAAAATGAATCCAGAGGTTTATCAAAAAAGCAAAACACCGCAGGTATAATGGTATATCCCACAAAGGTAAGGATGGTGAGTCTTAGGAAAATTGCTATTTGGGGCGCTTGGGTCACTTAGTCGGTTAAGTGTCGCACTCGATTTTGGCTCAGATCATAATCTCAGAGTCATGGGATCAAGCCCAGCGTCAGGCTTCTGTGCTAGGCACGGAGCCTGCTTGAGATTCTCTCCCTCCCTCTCCTTTTGCCCCTCCCCCCACCGCCTCTCCCCACCACCACCCCTCCCCCCTCTTTCACATTCACACATGCCTGTGTGACTACTCTCCTCTCTCTCAAAAAATGAAAATTTAAAAATTTCTTAACAAAGAGAAAAGAAAAAAAAGAAAAACACTGCTATTATCAGTCATCACATTCCTAGATTAAAGGAGAAAAACACCACGTTCTAGAAGGAAAAAACTGTATGGCAAAAATGCCAAGTAAAAGGCAAATGACAAACCGGGGAAAAACTATTCATAACTCACATTTCAGAACAAGGACTAATCTCCTGAATGTATGCATTCTTGTGTATCATTTTTTTAAACCAACAATTAATAGAAAAACATACAAGGGATGTGAAAAGTCAGTTCTCGGAAAAGCAAACGCAAATGGCTGTTACATATGCAAAACAAAAAAACAAAAAAAATCTTGATCCACTCATAACTAGAGAAATGCAAATCAACACTGCCCAGGGGGGGCTGTTTCTAAACACCATTCTCCAATAAAAGAACCAGAGTTTCTCAGAGGAACCCTGACTTGGGAATACAAAATGAACCTGAAGTATCTTACAGGGTCAGAAAATTAGCAAAGCGGGGGAGGGAAAAAAAGATGAGGGATGGAAGGAGCTAATAAAGGCCAAAGATGAAACAATTTAACCAATGAAATTAAGCAAGACAGTATTTAATACTAACACAAAGACTAAAATAAATAAATCAGTGTAGGAGGACAGAAAATATTCCTAACACAGGAATGTAAAAGGAATAAAGCCACCCTCCTTCATTCCAGAACGGACATTACCTGGTGCCATCCTGTGTGATAGGTTCTGCGCTGGGCAGCTCAAAGCCACTGGTGGGAGGGACAGTGCTCACAGGCATCTGGTCACCTCAAGCAGGGGCACCCCTCAGTTTCTCCTTGCCCTCTCCCTGGACCCCCTCAGCCACCCAGGTGAGTCCCCACATTTTTTGTGTGACTTTCCTTTCCGTAAAGTGCGATATCAATTACATGAAATAAAAGCAACCATTTTAAGTGTAGCGTTTGATATGCTTTGACAAGTATATGTTCCTGTGTAGTCATCACCCTAGTCAAAAGAAAAAACACTTCCAGCACTCCAGAAAGCTTCCTCCTTCCCCCCCTACTTCAGGTCACCACTGATCTGACTTCCATCACCATAACTTAGTTTCACCTGTTCTGGAAATTCATAAAAATGTAGTCATACAAGTACGTATCCTTTGAACCTGGCTTCCTTCATTTAACATAGTATCTGCAAAATGCATCTACATTGCTGCATTTGTCAATGATTTCTTCTTTCTGGGGCACTTGGGTGGCTCAGTTGCTTTAGCGTTTTACTCTTACTAGTTTCAGCACAGGCCACAATCTCGCGGCTTTGTGGGTTCAAACCCTGCATCACGCTCCTTGCTGGCCGCACAGAGCCTGCTTGAGATTCTCACTCTCTTCCTCTCTCTGCCCCTCTGCTGTCTCTGTCTCTCTCAAAATAAACTTTAAAAAATGATTTATTCCTTCTTCTTGCTGTGAAGTATTCCAGTGTATGGATACCCCACAGTGAGTTCATTCTCTCTGCCATAATGAACCACCAGGCAGTATGCAGTATGAGCTATGAGAGAGAGAGAGTTGCTGTGAATATTCATGTCCAAGCCTTTGCACAGACATGTGCTTTTATTCTTTTGGGTAAATACCTACATGTAAAATGCCTGAGTCACATGGTTGGCCTCTGTTTAACAAGAACTTTAACAAGTTTTAAGAAACTGTCAAACTGTCTTCCAACGCGGAGGTAATCATTTCCACCCCCATCAGGGGTGTAGGAGCATTCCAGCTGCTCCACAGCCTCACCAGCCCTGCAATGGTAGCATCCCCTTTTATGAAGCCATTTTAATAGGTACAAAATAGTACCTCATTGTGGCTTTAATTTGTATTCCTAGACATCTAATGATACTGAATATCTTTTCATGTGCTTATTGGACATCATATATCTTTGTTGAATAGTCTGTTCAAAGCTTTGGCTCATTTCAGTTATGGGGTATTTCCTTCTTACTATCGAGTTACAGTTTTGAGCAGTGATTTAATTAACACTGATCGATATCAGGTTGTCCTCTGTTCTAACCTTCACCTGGCCTCTTCCCCGGAAATCCAGAGTAAGATCCAAACACCAGGGCCTGGTTCTCTATAATCTCCCTCCCTCCGCTGGCCCTTTGCTCAGTCCTTTCTTCTACATAGGCTTCTGGCAACCCTCTCAACCAGCCATAACCAGCCAGACATCTTTTACTAAGAATTATCTTATTCAGGAATCTCTGGACACATTTACTTTACTCACTCCCCACAGGTAAGTTGAGGCTCCTTGCATCCTGCAAATTCAATCTTTCTAGCACTGCTGTTGAATAAATAAATGAGTAAATGAATACCTCTTACCTGGTGGGAGAGGTCAGTGAAGTCTTCTTCAAGGAAGTGAAACCACAGTATGACCACAGAATAAAAAAGGAGTTCATCACAGAAGATGGAGAAGAGCATTCCAGATATCAGGGTCAGCATGTACAAAGGCCCTGTGGTGGGAGGGAGCATGGTTTGTTCAAGACACTGTAAGAAGGTCTATGTATGGGAGAGACAAAGATCAGAGGACAGCAAGGGATAACGTTTTTAGGCTCTTTACCAAGACTCTGAGCAAGATGGGAAATTCCTGAGATTTTTGGGATAAGGGAAAAGGAGGTGATCCTGATTGAAGATTTAAGTTCTTCTGGCTGCCAAGAAAGGAACCAGGGAGGCCTCTAAAGACACCCTCCTAGGAGTCCAGGGAGGAGGCAGGAGCACTCTGGGACCTAGTCGAGGCCTTGGTGGTGGTGAGAAGTCAACAGGCACAAAGAAAGCCTTAGGAGGTGAAGATGTGCAGGCCTTGGTCATGGGCTGATGGTGAGGTTGAGAGAGAACTAGGACAGCCCCGGGCCTCAGATCTTCGGGGGGAAGGATGGAAGGCAGTGCCCTTCACTGGGGCTCAGGGGCCATCTGGGTGTCCTCCGGGGTGAATGGGGAGAGGAAGCAAAAGGCAGGCCAGGGCAGCCAATACAGGCCCAGGAGCTGGGCTGGCCAAGGATAGGAGGGGTGGTCAGGGGAGAAAGAGGTAGTGGGGGGGCGGGGGGGAGCTGACAGCGCGATTAAAACCGCAGGGGGACCAGACAGAGGTCTTGCAGTTTGGGCGCCTAGGTTTCTGGGTTCCGGACACAAGCAGAGACGCGAGCAGGAAGCTAGACGACGCAGCGCGGCTACACCGCCCGAAGCAAGGAGAGGTGAATGGAAGCCCCGACGGGGTGTTCAGGGGCGGCAATTAATAAGGTCTCGAGGTGCCGGGACGCGGGCGAGGGGAGAGTCCGGGGGTCTGAGGAGGCCTTGGGTCAGACCCAAGGCCCGCAGAGCAAGCAGCAGGGGTTCGAGGGGAGGAGGCGAGGAGGAGGGAGGGGAGCGGAAGGCGGCAGGACAGCCGAGGAGCTGGAGACGGAGACGAGGGGAGGAGGGGGCAGGGCAGGAGGGGCGGGACGGGGGCGGGGCGGCGGGGGGATGCTCCCCCGCTCCCGGGTCTCGCCTTTTTCTCCTTCCGCACTGTCCGGGTTTCCGCTTCCCTCCCGGGCGCGGGGTGAGGGAGCGGGGCCGCGCCTAGTTCCCGGCCGCTGCCGCCATGTGGCCCCCAGACCACGAACCCGACCCGGACCCTGACCCGGCCCCGGCGCGCGCCGGACGCTCTCCGCAGGGCGCGGCGATGCCCGGGCTCCGCGCCCTCCTGCCGGCGCGCGCCTACCTCTGCTCGCTCAAAGGCCGCCTCCTACTGGCAGAGTCGGTGAGTGCGACGCGGGGCCGGGGCGGGGGCCCGGGCCGGCAGAGACGCCGTCGGGACTCCTGGTCTCGCCAAGCCCTTGGAGCCGAGGAAGGCGGGAGGAGCTGGGTGCACTTCCCCAGGCGTCGGGCGGCGCTGAAGCTCAGCGCGCGGGGCAGGGGCGAGGTGGGACCCGAACCCAGGCCCTCTTGGCTCGCTAAACCAACGTGGGGGGCCCATCGGGAAGCCTGGGGCCGGGTCCCGCTCCTGCCGGACCCCTGGAAACCCAGCCCGGCGCCGTGTGACCCCGGGCGCCTCGGCTCCGCAAACCCTCCTGCCATTCCGGCTGCGCCCGGTGAGGAACTGGGCCCCTTCGGTGCTTCACGACGCCCGGGACGGGGGCAGGGTCAGTTCTCTGCGCCCTTGCCCGCTTTCTGGGCTCAAGGAGGACCGGCCGGGCCTCGAACTGCGGGGCGGAGGCCGGGGTGGACTCCTGCCTGCTGAGACGGGGAACAGTGGGTAGAGGGGAAGGGGACCCCTGGGATTGGGTGAGGCCGGGGCCGCACAGTGCGGGGCGCGCAGGCAGACCCCTCCCCCCTGGTGCACGGGGCCGGGGCGGGAACCCAGCGGGGTGACTTCATCCCCCTCTTCCCCTCCCACGCTCGGATCCAGCCGCTCCGCCCCCGCCGGGTCCTTCTTCCTTTTCGCAACCCCCATCCCTGCCCGTCAGGCCTTTGTCTTCGGGACACTCCGAAAAGAAAACTTCGGTGCAGTCTGTGTGTGGGATGGGGGTTTGGTGCTGGCCTCCGTGCAGTGCTGGGAAGGAAGAGGCCCGGCGCAGGGGAGGCGAGGCAGGGAGGAGCTCTTGTTCCTTAGATTCCTAGCAGTTTGACAGCCCCTATCCTTATTCCCACTTTGCAGACAAGAAGGCTGAGGCCAGAGCATCTAGGGGATTTTGACAGGTGGGTCACTTGAGGGCCAGGTGACAGCAAGGTTGGGAGTGGGAAGGAGCCTCTGCCCCCCACTTCTTCCTACTGTCCGGGGAGGCAGATGGCCAAGGCCTCACGTCGCTCACCCACTCGCCCAGCAAGAGGCGGCCTTTGAGCGAGCAGATGTCGGTTCTACAAGGGAGATTGATGGGAGCCTCTTTTGCAGAGAAGCCTTTAATCCACAGGCCACTGAGGGGCCCCAATCCCAGCCCACTCCGCCCACCTCATAGAGGAAGCCCTTGGCAGTCAGGAATCCAGATCTAGGAAGATGAAGAAGTGGGAAGGAAGGAAGAGTTGGGGTGATCACTGAAGACACAGGGGAGCCATTCTGGTCCCTCTTGCCGCCCTCTGGTCCCCTCTGGCTGCCTCCAGGCCCCAGCAAGTGGGGAGACTGACAGGGACAGGAAAGGCATGAAAGTAGCCACCAGGAATCAGGGAATGAGGAAACAAGAATGGAGAGGGGGATCCCCAAAATCTGGCTCTGGGGTGGTGGACAGGAAGGGAGAAACACAAGAATAGCCTTCTGTTGAAGAAGTACAGCAGGAGCTGGGAACAGAACTCTTTCTGGGTCCCATGGATTTGCCTTCCTGGGAGACCTCTCTCTCAGCTTTTATTTCCTATCTGTTCCAGCTAAACTCAGCTACTTCCATGGCCCTGATCAGGGCTGACTTGTGCCCTGGCGACTCCCTGGGGTCTCTTCAGCTCATTTGTCTGAAGCAGCCGCAGTGTTTCCTGTGTGGCGTCTGAGTGTCCCTCCAGGGCCCCTGTGCCCCACTCCAAGCTACTCAGCCGTGGACACGCTGAGCCCAGCCCAGCTGTAGTGACAGAGACCAGGACAGAAAAAGGCCAGCAACCATGGGGCAAGAACTACAGCTGTGTGATCGGCCAGCCCTGGGTTCAAATTCTGGTGCCTTTTTATTAGTTGCATGACCCTGAGCAATTACCTCACCTGTCTGCACCTGTCTCCTCATCTGTAAAGTGGGCTGTGAGTAAGCACCTGTGCATGGGTGGTTGCAAGGATTCCCACATGCCTCAGTGGGCACTGGCCTGGGAAGTAACAACCCCATCAGCTTGGCCCGCCCTGCAGCGCACACGGTCTGCAGAACTAGCTAGGGCCTCGGCGTCTTCCTAAATCAGTTCCCAGCCACAACGCATGTGCCGGGCTGCGGAGACCTGCAGTTCTTGTTCCTTAATGCGGTGGGCCCTTTTCACAAAGGCTGGATGGGTGATGCAGCCGGGCCTCAAGTGTCAGGGTCAACACTCCCTCCTGGATGTTTTCTCATCTTATGAAAATGTGTCAATCTCTAAAAGACCCAAACAGTTATACTCTTAACGCCCATATGCCCACCACCATGTTTGCTTTAGCACATATATTATCCATCTACCTGTCCACCAAGCCAATTTAGTTTTTGATGTAAAGTAAAAATGTACTTTGCCCGCATCAGTACATGTCAACTCTAAACACTTCAGCCTGCATATCATTAACTAAAGTTCAAGATTTATATTTTGCTTTTCAGCTAACATTTACATTTTGGGGAGTTGGGGGTAATTTTTTGAAACTGGTTCCCACTTAGTGGACTGCCTTTGAGACTGCTTCGGTTTGATTTCCTGGTTGGGCACCATCTGAGTTGGGTGGATTCCACCTTAGAGCCTGCATGGGGGGGGGGGTGGTTAGGTGAGCAGCTGTAGGAGGCAACCTGAGAGGGTGGGAGCTGCACACACGTGGAAAGCTGGGGCTTCCTGATGGGGTCCTTGGCAGGGAGCTGGAATAGGGTCCAGATGCAGATCCATGCCCAGGGTCGCAGGGGGCAGCGCGGGTGTGGGCCACCGCCCCATGACGGGGTTCTGATCCTGGCATCTGTGGTACTGTGGGCAGTTCGCCTCCCCTGTTCCTGAATGCAGAACCCTGGGCCACGGGTTGTGCAAGGGCTCTGACTTTCGCTTGTCTCACCTCCAGGGTCTGTCGTTCATCACCTTTGTCTGCTATGTGGCGTCCTCTGCATCCGCCTTCCTCGCTGCACCCCTGCTGGAGTTCCTGCTGGCCCTCTACTTCCTCTTTGCTGATGCCATGCAGCTGAATGACAAGTGGCAGGGCTTGTGCTGGCCCATGATGGTGAGGGCTGGGCCCCAGGAGGGCGGAGTTTGGATGCACTTTGGCCCTCACCCTTCTCTGTGCTGGAGGGGCTGTTTGCCGTTGGTGGATCCAGGCCCCGCCACTCAGCAGCCATGTGACCCAGAGCAGGTTGTCTTAACCTTCAGGGCCTCCAGTGCCCCTCCCTGAGGCAGGGAACCTTAGCCGGTATCATGGCCCTTGGCCACCAGGTGGCACTGGCGTTCCCAGCTGGGCCTGCCGGAATGAGCCTCCGCCGCAGGAATTCAAGCCATTTCCACAAGGGCAGGGCAGGTTAACTGAGGACTTGCAGGGCTTACCCGGGCCTTAACCATCTGGCACTTTGTCACCACTTCAACCTTTGCTTTTGAAAAGGGACAGAAAGGCTGCCATTGAACCCTGGTCTCTTGACTTCACATCCCATATGTTTCCTGATGGGCTACAACCTGTGTCCCCATTTTAGAGACAGGTGAGCAGAAACCATGATGCATAAGTGGATCTGCCACAAGTATGTGCCACAGTGAAGCCCAGGGCCGGATCTCCCCGTTGGACAGCGAGCAGGGAGCAGATGACCAGGTTTCCAACTTCCCCTTGCTTGCCGAACAGGGAGTCCTGCACGTGGGTCAAGCCACAGGACATGTGCAGCCTGGCCCATACCCTGTTGTCCACCAGGCATCGGACCGGCCAGCAAGACCGGGGACAAGGCAGCCTCAGCTGCTCACAGCCCGCAGGGGCACCTGGGCAGGGCAGGAATGGGGGCGGGACAAGGACCAGGAAGTGCAAGCAGAGAGCCCGTGGATGTCAGATCTGCGGGCCAGGTGTGTTTCCAGGCTGCCCGGCCCATCGTCTCCTGGGAACAGTGGGTTCCTGCCACCTGGTGCCCTTCTGAGCCCCTGTCCCCTGTGTGGGCTCCCAGCTGCCCCCCCTCAGTGCTGTCTTCCACTCCTGGGAGGCCAGGGCAGTGACTATGCCCACTGCTCCCCAGGACTTCCTGCGCTGCATCACGGCAGCCCTCATCTACTTCGCCATCTCCATCACCGCTGTCGCCAAGTACTCGGATGGGGCTTCCAAAGCAGCTGGGGTGAGTAGCCGCGCTCTCCCTGGAAGGGGTTGCCCAGCAATGCCCCCTCAGGATCACCCCACCCCAGATGCCTGGGGCACAGTCTGCCCCACCTCAGGTCCCTCAGGGTTTCACGTGGATCTCAGCTATTTCCAAAGTCCTCTTATTAGATAATTAATCCACCCTGAGTTTTGAAGGCTGTTTGCCCAACCAAGATCTCAGCTCATTTTCCTCCGTGTCGGTACCGGGAGGGGTCTGCGCTTGCCAATCAGAGCTGCTTCTCCAAGCAGATAAAGCCAGGCGGCAGCTTCTCGGGCTGGCCCTCCTGCTCCCAGGGACTCCCATCTCCTGACGATGGGCTCCATCCGCCTTGTCTCCTATCCCACAGGTGTTTGGTTTCTTTGCCACCATCGTGTTTGCAATTGACTTCTATCTGATCTTTAATGACGTGGCCAAATTTCTCAAACAAGGGGACTCCGCGGACGAGAACGCAGCTGACAAGGCAGAAGGTGGGTGGCTGCCCTGTGGGTTTTTACCTGCGGACCTGGCTTATCACCCCAGGACTATTGCTGGGGACCCTGCTCTCCCTAAGGGATATGCAGCCAGTTTGTGGCTACAGGAGGAACATCCCCACAGGCTGAGAGTGCCTTTACAGCCTAGTTCTCTTGTCCCTTCGTGCCGGCTCCCCTGGACTTCTGCCCTTCCAGGAAAGGCAAGCTGAGGGCAGGCCCGGCACCTCCTCCTCCGTGACACCTTCCCTGATGAGCCCCCAAGGCAGCCAGTCACCTGCAGGCAGCCCCCTGCCTGGACCAATCTCCCCACCCCGACCCCAGTCTCACCTGCCTGTGGCTCAGGGGCCAGAGAACCAAGCTCTCGTCCTTACCTGCAGCACCCAGGCAAGCTCAGTCAGGCTTATGAGCCAGCAGAACCCATCCTCCTGCTAACAGTATAGGAGGCGCACCTCGTCCCATCCCGTACTTCAGCCAAAGCTAGGTTAAACGTTCCTAGATGTTTTCCTTAGGTCTTTGTGACCTGCTTACCGGTTGCCCACCATGGATGCTTCTAGACAACCACCCTAGTGGACAAGTAGCAGTGGAGACATGTGTTTGAATATTTTGTGAGCTTTAATATTCGAAGATATAGTTACAGCTTTACTTTTGCTGTAAGATCATTCCTAGCTTATGTGTTAGAATGAATACAGCAAAACCACAGAGTCCTGACAGTCCGGCCCTTGACACAGGGACTTACGGTTTACGGAAGCTCTCTGAGCTCATCCCTGACTCAGCAACAGTATGAGGACTGACTGGGGTTCTGAGAGACAGAGATTGGTCCCTCCCTGAAAATAGCAGCTGACACTGGAGCTGGAGCAAGAGGGTTATAACTTGGGTGCTCTTCCTTCCTGAAGGTTCCAGACGACTCTACAGAGTACTCTTCAGTATTGGGATTCTAGGAACCTTGGAGTTACACCTCACAGATGGGCCCTTAACATTATAAAATGTGTCTGATTACTACATAAAATTGGGATGGAGGCAAGGAGGACTGAAACTATAAGGTGGTTAAAAAGAGGCTTCCTGATTTTCTAGTTATATTTTAGTTTCTTGAGCCAGAAAATAGCTGTCCCCACTTTACCCTGCTGAATTGCAGGGTAGGGTAGGGTTGGGCTTGGGGTGCAGATATACTTCCCTGACACCCCCAGGTGAGAATAGCCCAGGGAGGCTGGGGAGGGCCTGGAGCAGGGTCATCCAGGCTCTAGCTCCTCCAAGTGGCCATGCCCTGGAGATGACAGCAACTGCCTGTCTGGGGTCCCAGGTAGGGGCGTGGGGGGGAGGGCAGCCCTCACGCCAAGCAGACACCACCAACATCACAGTCAGCTGCAGGAGAGGCCTGAGCCCGGGGCTCCAGCCAACACCCAGAAACCCAGCCAGTCTCCCCGGAAACAGCCTCCAGGCACCACTGGCCTGGAAACTCCCACCAAGCATCCTCTTTGCTTTCCTTTCAGAAGAGAATTCTGACTCTGACTCCGACTGAAGGCCTGCCCTGCCCTGGCAACCTGGGCCTCACGGGCCTTGACTGCTGCCCCTTCTGACCAGGACAGCCAGGACGTGGTCAGGGGACCGTGCGTGTTGGGAGAGAGGCTGTGACTTCAGCAGCAGTGGGAGTTGCTGACGGAGCTGGCCTCCTCACAACCCCAAGGTGACGTTCCCTAGCCCAGCTTACAGACTGGCACCCCTTGGCTTAGCCCCGTCCAACTGCTCCACACACAGGGGCTTCGTGAATATTCCTCTTCTCATTCCTGCCCTGCAGAACTTAAGCCTTGTAACCTCCCTGCCAAAAATAAGCACAAGGGATAGAGCTGATGGAGCCTTGTTACAGGAAGCATTTCATGCTGCAAGGCTGGCGGGGGGGTGGGGGTGGGGGTAGATGTAGGACAGAAGCCACCACAAGACCAACCTGCTGGGCCCCCGGGGGTTTGGTCTGCATCTGGTGTCCCAGTCACGAAAGGCACTTTGTGGAGAATGATCCTTCTAAGATTCTTTTGTTCAAGGAGTACCAGCTGCTTCTTTTTTTTAATGTTTATTTTTGAGACAGAGACAGAGCATGAGCAGGGGAGGGGCAGAGAGGAGGCAGAATCTGAAGCAGGCTCCAGGCTCTGAGCTGTTAGCACAGAGCCCGATGTGGGCCTCGAACTCATGAACCTCGAGATCATGACCTGAGCCCAAGTTGGACTATAACCAACTAAACAACCCAGGTGCTCCAGCCTCTTCATTTTTGAAGCAGGGAGAAAACTGACCTTGGCTCTCATCTGGGAGAGAGCGGGTCACGGTGTCCGTGATGGGCACCTCACGCTCTCGGAAACCATGTCTTCTCTGCGCAGCGTGTCAGTTGTAGATTAGCTTACCAGATCCAAAAGATGAGGGTACCTAGAAGCAAAATAACTGACAGTGTCCTGGGTAGCTGGGCAGGCCCAGCCAAACCCTCTTGCCTGCGGGGACCCCCTGGCTGGCAGGGGCTCTCGGGCGCTCAGGATGACATGTTTCTCGACACCACAGCGGGTCTCCTGACCACCTCTCGAGAGGTGAAGTGTGCCTTCTATGTTCGCCTGAGGACCTGTGCTGTGTATGTTCAGTGGGGTTTTGTAACTTTATGTAATTTTTTTACACATCAGTCGCTTCTTTAAATGGCCTTCCCTGTGACCCTCATGAATGAGCCAGATCAGGACCCAGGTCTTGGGCATTTGTAACCTTTGTTCTTCTCTTGCATGTGAAAAAAGCCATAATGGATTAAACCAGACTACCTGCTTGGAGTGTATGTATTTGAAAACCCCTCACACTACCCAGGGCAGTGCAGTCCAGGGTCATGCTTCAGCACAGACCGGTCACACGCATGGTGAGTCCTGACAGCTCCACGTGCACTTGCTCCACACCAGGCCCCCCTAAGCGTCTGATGCCTGTGCTCTCTCTCATCTGCTCCTCACACGATCCTGTCTCACAGTCCAGGAAGCTGACAGAAGGTTCAGGAACTTGTCCGAGTCACCATGACCCCTTGAGGACCTCTCACTTCTGTATCAGGATAACAACCCATGCACCTCTCAGGCAGCCAGAAGCTAGGGCTCTCGTGGTTTGGAAACTGGTTACACAAAGGACCCCGAACGTGAAGGCTGGGAGGGCGCTGGGTCGTCATGCGGCCCAGGTGTCCTGGCCCGGCTTTTAACGCGTTCTGAAAATGCGTCTGGAAGTTAATGTGCAGAAACCGAGAGGGGTACATGGTGGCAGTTTCCTCTCCACCCTGCCTGCCCAGCTAAGCCTGCCGGGCTGCCTGCCAACACCCGCAGCCCGGCCTCTCCCACAGACGCGGGCTGTGTTCAGTCTCCACCTCACAGGCCTGTTTCGGGAACTAGGTCCACAGACTTTGAAGGGATAGGAGGGAAGTCAGAGTGAGGAAAGAAGACAGTGCCATTTTTACATGTCCATTTATTAAACAAGAACTCCTTCATGACAATTTAATACAATATTAGCGATTAGTGCTGAGAAAATTATTTCCCTCTACATACAAAAATACAGATTTGAACACTATGAAAACAATTAGGACAAGTACCATGAAAAATAGGTCCTTCAAAAGAAAGGGGCAAAATTGAGGGCAATGTGAGGCTCTGCCTGCCGTCCGGGACAAACCCACAGGAGCAAAGGCTTCGGGGCCCCAACACCGCTCCAAATGGATAGAGTCAAACCCACAAGCCAGGGTTTGAGAAGCCAGGAAACCCACCAACAGCATAAACCAATGTTTGCCCAATGGGCATCACCTCAGAACGCCCCACAGCTATGTCTATTATTTTAAGAAGCAAACTGTAATCGTTACTAAGTTAACATTGCCCCCCAAAAGTGCCACCAGGCCAGGTACCAATGAATAATCATATTAGAATTATTAGCCATCTGATATCACTTCCTTTGTTAAAATAATTACATCTTCTGGCCCTTCAAAAGGACAAAAAAGAAGCTACAATTTGTTTGAGTAAATCCATTCCTTCACTTTGCAATGGCTCAGCTAGTTGACTCAAAGAATCTTCTTCACCAGACAGAACTCGCATCCCGGGGGATGGCGGGGGGGATGGCGGGGGGGGGAGTGGGGGGAGTTGGGAAAGCCAATGGAGCAGCTAGAGTGTTACCTGTGTCCTGATGTCATCAGGCTCCTCGCAGCAGAGAGTCTAGAGAAAGGGCCACTGAGCCCACCCCGGGGAGTCTATAAACCAAAGCAGGCTGGGCCTGTGGGGGCCTGCGCTGGTCCTGGAAGACCCCCCTCCCTTCCCCAGCCGCAGACAGCAGACAATAGGGATCGTCACCGTTTCAGACCCAAAGAGGGGCGAGAGCGCCGCGGACATTCACGCTTTTCCTCGTTACAGAACCACTTTCCTCTTCCTGTCTGAGGTGAGCGGTGGCCTCCCTGACTGAACAAGTGGCTTCAAAATGCCAAATGCAGCTACACTGATTAATAAGTATTTCACAGAAATATACGCTGACTCTCAGACTGTTGAAATAAGCAGAAACAAGTTAGTGGGGAGAAAGCAGCAGAGAGGAGACAGGAATAGCCAAGGGGGGTGCTGTTTGTTTTCTTTTTTAAAATACATAACGAAGTTTAAAGAGGTAATGGCTAAACCTCAAAACCATCATCACTAAAAGCAATATTAAAAGGACACAATCTAACATGCTACAAAAATAGTGTCATCTGGTTTAACTAAATGTACATCTTTTTTTCAGTTCCATGATTGACAAGTGTTTATGTGACTGACACACAGAAGGCACCGAAGGTGAAGTGATTATTATTTGTCTTAAGACATACAAAGACAGAATTACCTACTTGGGAAGTACAGTCATACCTGTAATAAATAGTTAAGTGGTTCTGCCACGGGTTCCTGAACCCCTACAAATTGCAACATACACAAATAGTTTCGATCCCTACAGTCTCTTAGAGGGAACCATCAGAATCAAGTTATTACAAGCATTGGTTTTATCCACATCTGTCAGTTTCCTCATGAGGCAGGGTTTGAAAACTCATCTTTAAATGGGCTACAGAGTGAAAGAGCTGGAAGCAGTCAGCCCTGGTGCGGGTCTAGCTGGCGTGGGGGTCTGTCTGGGCCTCCTGCCCTCGTCCTTCTGTGGGAGCCGGCCTTCCCCCAGCCCTTGGACCGGCCAGTTGTCTTTTGAAGCCCCAATTATCTGCCTCCTTCCCTTCTGCAGAAAGGGAAGCTTGCAAAATCAATTCTGGAAAAGGCAAGAAAGCAAAATGGCCCACTGAGGGAGGCAGGCATCAGTTAGATCTGGGCCTGTCTGATATGGGCACCAACAAGGTCTCCACACTGTCCTCATTTCCTGGTAACAGGAAGTGCTTCCCAATGGGGTTTAGCAGTGTTCTCCAAAGATGACTCCGATTTAACAGTTTCAGACTGGGTCCCATACAAACCAGTACCCGAATCAACTGTGTCATGCCTTCTCTGGTCTGAGACACAATAATGAAAAGAAACTTTGGGCCTTGCCCTAATCCCATCAACAAAGCAGATTAAGGTCATTTGAGACAAGTTCCTTCTCAAAATCAGAACCATAAACGTTCTGACAGCTCACCAGAGTCCAGGCTATTAACCCCCTTCATGAAGGCTCTCTGGCCTTTGTGTACAATACACCCCAAAGAACACCTACCACTCCAAGGCGTCTAGATGAGCAAGTCACCTGAATTAAAGTCTTGGCATAAAAATGCGGACAATAAACTGACCCTAGGAACGGGATGCACTATTCAAGGATCCATAATCTAAACTTTATTCTAGGCAAGTTGCTGTTGCTTCAAACTCAGTGGGCTTGTAGGTAACTTCTTCCTTTATTGTTACATTTATGGAATGAGAAAAACCAGAAAGGGAAAAAAATCCCCAAGGTGCAGAAATTACACTCGAATAGAAATATAATCTAGACCAAAGAAGGAAAAACACATCAGGCCCCATTCCTCTATTTCAAGCCTAAGAGAGTATAAATTCCATTACTAGTGCGAAGGAAAGTCAAAAGGAACATTCATTTTCAGAAGAAAATTCTTCTAGATCTAACAGGAATTGAGGGTATTTTCTATCAGGGACAGTTTCTAAATAATAGCAACGGGCAGGGTCAAATGTTTCAAATAACCTTTCACCCAGACAGTTCTCATGATCTCAACAATATCTACTGAGAAGGGAGGAAATACGAGATTGTATAAAAAGCCAGGAAAGGTGACAAAGCTCAAGGCAGCCTGTATCTGGTCTGCTTCCTCTCTAAGGTGGACCCGAACCAGAATCTGAGTCCCCTGTCCAGACCTCAAGAGCCCACCCAGGGCTCCAAGGCATACTGGTCCCAACATCCAGCTTTGGCTCTCAGGCTGAATGCGAGCCTAAGACCTCATTTTTGCCAAGACGAGAGGAAAGGACGTTAACCAAGTCCATTTTTTCACAATGGCCTGGGTCGGTGACCGTGTGCAGTATGAGGACTAATTCCCCAGAGGCACACAGTCTGGGTGTGCTGGGCCCTCCCTCCTCTCCCCTCTCATCTTGCCGCTGCTCCACCTCTCCAGCCTGTCTCCCAGCTGGTCCTGAAGTGGGTGCTGATAAGGCAAGAAAGATTTGAGGGAGACAGAAGCCCTGGGTTCTGCAAAGTTTACTAGGAACCAAAAAGGTGTCTGGGGACCTCAAAAGCTAATGACAGTCCCTGGGACAGAGAACAACTTTATTTTCCCAGAGAGAATCAATTGGCGGTAGCCTTCAGCCCACAAAGTGCTTTTTGCCTTTACCTGTTTAATGTCCTTATTTTCCTGTCAACAAGATATGGAGAAAATGACAATTGGGAAGTAGCAGGATGACCTCCTGGCTGCCTGGTTTTGAACATGGACGGCACAATGGGAACCACTTAAATCCTCGCTGCCTTCCAGAATCCCTAAATTGGCCACACGTCACCCCCACACACTGTTTAGGTTCGGGCTGTTCTGAAAACCCACATAAAATCTTGCACGGCCAGAGATGAGAACTTGGGCCACCTCTTAAACACGTGGAGAGTCGAGGAGTTTCTTCCCGCAGAGCAAATGAGTGTCTGCACGACGAGCTGAGCTTGGACCGCACACAGGACATCACACACGGCCAGGCCTCGCTGCAAGCACGAATGCGTACACGTGTGCAGACAAAAGAGTTAGTGCTTCCTTGCCTCAAGAGACCGCCTGTAGCTTAACCCAAGTCTGAATCACTAAGAAAGCATCAAAGAAAGGCAGACCAAGTGGCAAACTTTTTAAAAGAGCAGACATGTTTTCAACGGAGTGGAAAGCTCTCACCATCTAACACATCGATACACTTCATGCCTACCCATGGGCATGAGCCTCCCTGCCAGGGGACAGTCGAGGTGCCCTGAGGGCCAGGGGTGTGGTCCGCCCCTGAAAGCCAACCCTCAGAGGCGGGCGGGCCCCCGGTGGCCAGGCTGGAAGGCAGGGCACTGGGACTGGACAGGCCACTCATTACATCCTTGCCTTTTTGTGGGCAAAGGTAATCTCTCTGGGACGAGTGTTTCTGCATAGAGTAAAAATCTAAAATAAAATAGATCCTAGGAGGTCTTAATCTGTGACTACTTTTGTCCTTCCCTGGTGTTATACGGGGCCGACTGAGCGTCTTTCAGCCTCCATGACTGTAATCTTTCTGTATGAAAGGGAAAGACCTCTCCCTCCCTCTGCACCTTCAGCCACGTGAGAGAAACACACAGGAAAACCCAAGGGAGAAAATACCACATCAACCAAAGTCAGTGAGTGCCAAGATCCACCTTCTCTGAAGACGTCAGTGTGCGCATCTATCTGAAACCACCAGGGTCCCACCGGAGGCTGGGTGGGTTTCCAGCGCGCAGTCTCCAGGCACAAAGTCCAATGTACACAGCAACTGTGGTTCCCACCAAGTTTGGCACAAACTACGAAAGCAAGCATCACCCTACCAGAAAACTGAGAAACACTAAGATTGCCTCAGCCTTAAACCAAATGGATGCCCCAAACCAAATGGATGTGGTCCCATACTGGAACTATTAAATACACAAACAGGCTTCCTTCAATTTGGAAAAAAAAAAAGTCCTGCTAAGCGCCCCCTAAATCTAGATTGTCTTGTTTGCACACAGAAGCCACATAAGAAAAAGAAGTGTTGTCACACTCACCCTAAACAGCCACACTCTCCTCTCAACTGCCCCACCACACTGCCGCACGGAGCTCTGTGCTCTGCGACACACAAGGAGAGAGCGGGCAGCTGCTTCTGGCTGTGGTGGGAGCTAATTAAATATAAAAAAATATATTTACAGAAACCGTGGGGGAGCCTCATGGCACAAAGGATATTAAATAGTTACAGGGACATAAATAATTCCAAAGATTCTAACACTAAGATGCAAAGTGACTCCTATGTCCCTCGGTGGCACAAAGGGTCACCACTTTTTATCACCTATAAGCATTTACAATTGCAATAGGCTTCAGAACCATTTCTTGCAGCTTTCGACACATCCTCAGGAGGCCGACAGGCCCTTTTCCACCAGATGATAAGCTGGTTTTATTGTAGTGACCTGGGAAAGTTTGGGCAACAATCCTGCCTGAGTGGTATTCTTTTCCTCAATCTCACTTCAAAGGCGGCTTTTTATTGAGGCCAAGTAACATGATTCCCAGCAGATTCCTGATAAAGCTCAGGGTGGTCCTTCCACATGGGCCCCACTGAATGCGAGGCTGTCTTTGTGGCCCCATTTCTAAGTGGAACTCTCAGAGGGAGAGAAGCCCATTTTGGATTATGCAGACACACTGGACAAATACAAAATAAATACATGAAAATGAACAGATAAAATCCAGATGTCATCATCTCCTCAGAAGTCACTACACATAAGAAGTTCAAAGTCTGTGAGGTATGACTGGTGCCACCTCAGAACATGCGTGGGAATGGGGCTCGGTCGGACCCGTGTGGGAGCAGGGGAGGTGTATGACCATCAGGCCAGCAGGGTCTGGCACTGACAGCCCGCCGCCCCTGATGCAAAGAACTGCAGCAGAATTCGGCTAGTACCGGAGGGTCAGTTCTGGGGGCTGACCCCTGGCCCCGACCCTTCAGACACGGAAGGGTACCGTTTCCTGGGGAACCGCCTGCCTAGCAGTGGTCCCTGCGCTGGGAAATGAGACGCTTCTCTTTCGCGAGGCATGCGATGCCACAGGCGCACGGATGACACCTTCTCGTGCCTGCTCTGCTCCCCACCCCCGAACACACACTGGGGTTCTCTCTCCCCTCACACGGCGCATGCGGCAGCAGCTGCAGTCATTTGCTACTAGACAAGATCCTGGGGACCCTCCGCGGGCTGCAAACCCGCCTCCGCGCCCCCCCCCACCGCATCCCCATCCCGGGCAGTGTGGGTTTCCTCCCTGGTGACAGCTAGACACAGAATATTAGAGGGACAAGGTTTGTAAACATTCAAAACAGTTCAGAGTGAAAACCCAACAAGTTACGACAATTTTTCCATGAAAGATACAATTATAGTCTCCTGACAAGAAAACAAAAACAAAAACAAAAAAACCCTACAGCCTCACAGGGGCTCATGTAACACATTCACTACAGTCATCTTCACTTTATCCAGAATCCATCCAAAGCCTTACGTAACTAGAATTTTTCCCAGCAACTTACAAGATCGATGTTCATAGTCATGACCCTGAGGCATAAAAGCTACAACCCATGCCTTCTGAAACATCAGTGAAAGGGTGTGTCGTGCTGGAAATTCAAGTATTTTCAAATCCTAGACAAACCTACTCAGAGTCACTCTAGAACTGTCCACAAATTTGAAAATTTGCACATCTCTAAAACAGAGGTGTGTCCCCACCTGTGGTCCATGAAGCCAGCAAATGCACCAGCATTCTGGCTGATGGAATGCTGGGGTGTTTTTGCGGGGGGGGGGGGGGGGGGGGGGGGGGTTGTGGTTTTTTTTGTGGCTTTTACCTGAGAAGGCAAAATTGCAGGAAGTCTGCAATTCAGCCTCCAAGTAGTAAGGGTGGGTATTAAATTGGAAAACAAGCCCCCATATTCCTAGAGGAGAATCTGGGACTCAAGGAGGTGACGCATTTCAGATCGAATTGAGTGATTTCTCAGCAGGGTGGGAAACGAAAGGGGACCTTCCCGCATGTCAGCAGTCCCGCAGAGCTGTCCCTAGAGGGCAGCAGCTTTTTCCGTCCCCATAAAGTCTGGGTCCAGCCGAGAGCCCCACAAGCGCTCCCATTGCCAAGACCCTCAGCGCCACGCAGGGCTTTCTGGGCCTGTGCTGGGTGTGTTGACGCCCCAGGAGTGGAAGACGAGGAGCAGGGGAAGGTCCGGGCAGCAAGACTAAAGGACGCCCTGGAGCTCACGAGGGGGCTGCCAACTGTTTGAACCCCGCACCTTCATTCCTGACTTTTCTCCCTCCCGGCAGCCCCCATTCATCCAAAGTCTTGAGTTGTCACAAAAACATGACAGGGTGGCTTGGAGTCAGATACGAAGCCTGTGCTCAGGGACAGCGAAGACCCAAGGCGGATGCAGGAGCCGGGAAGCTCTGCGGCAACCGCAGCCACCGAGCACTGGGCCTCTGCCACCCGCTTCGCACACCGGGCACGGGGGCTCCCTGCCTCACACACCCGCCAACGGGGGCTCTGAAAACCCTTCCCCAGAATGAACTTTTACCAAAGAGGGCAAAATTCAACTTAATCACGGGAAAGTCTGACGTGACGAGGGAAAGAAAACTTGTTTGAAAGGATGGGCACGAGGACAGGAGGGAGGAGGGTGTGGCAGGAGCTCAGGTGTCCAGGCGCTGGATCTCAGGGCGACCGTCCACGTCTCTGGACTCCGTGCGGGCTCGGATGTAGTCACTGGCACTCTGCTGGTGGATGCTGATCCTCCACTTCTGCACCGCCAGGAACGTGTTCACCGCATATACCGCGGTTGCCAAGAAGCCAAATATCTGCAAAACACAGGCACGGTTAGTCCTCAGACATGTCAGCCGCCTACCGGGTGTCTGGGCAGAACCTGCCCCTGAGCAGCTCACATTCACCCGAGCTGTGTGCACCTCTTCCAGCCGCACCCACAATGCCCAGACCCACTGATATTCAGCTGCCAGACTGTGGCCAAGTACGCAGCGAACATGACCCACATAAATTCCTGCATCACCTGAAGACAGCCCAACGCTTCTTTTAAAGTATTCTGGATCTATTAAAAACAAACAAACAAACAAACAAACGGGAACCTGGGTGGCTCAGTCAATTAAGCAGCCAACTCTTGGTTCTGGCTCAGGTCATGATCTTGGGGACTGTGGGTCTGACCCCACATCAGGCTCTTCTATGCTCACTGTGCAGAGCCAACTTCAGACCCTCTATCTCCCTCTTTCTGGCCCTCCCACACACACACACACACACACTCTCTCTCTCAACAATAAATAAACATTAAAAAAATTAAAAAACAATCACAGAAGTGCCTCTTTTACAACACCTCATGGCCACTGGTAAAATATGAAAGTAAAATGTAGAGCAAAATACCAGATAGACAGAATAGGGTCTCAGGTGTCAGCCCCTAATCAAACCATAATGCCTGATGTTCCGTATCCCAGCCCCGCACCCCCATCCACTGTCCAGCTGCCTTGCTCCTGGGCACCTCCAGGTGACTCCGGGTAAGCAGCAGTACAATTTTAATGATTTGACAGCACTGATGAATCCACTGAGTGACATCTGGAAGGGTATCTGGCTTAATATTTTTTAAAAACCTTTCAAACCGGCCCCCACACAGCAAAAGTGCTACCTGTTCATTATAAAAACAGAAAAATACGGAAATGTACAACATAGAGCATGAAAGTCCACCCCACCCTCAAAAGCATTCTACCTCAAAGAACAAAAAAAATGTCACCTGACTGCCAGATGGGGTCAGGCTACCCTCTTCTTCATTAAGACCCCCCTGCCCCCCAAAAGATAAAGCTCTTAAAAGTCATGTCACTAACAGACACGCAGGCCTCTGCTGGAAACAACTAAAGCAGTAATTCTCAAATTTGAGCATGTGTCTGAATTACCTGGAGGGTGTGCTGCTACGGATTTCAGATTCAGTAGCTCTAGGGGAGCCTGGGAATAGCATTTCTAACAAGTTCCTCAGTGATACTGAGGCTGCTGTTCTGGGGACTATACTTTGAGAACCACAGCGCTGAAGGAACCAGGACCTCCATTGACTCAGTAAGAACATCATTAGCGAAGGAAAAGCTAAGGAAGAATGAGCAGGATACAAGCTAGGGGACAGGAGAGCAAGTCACAGAGTGCACAAATCAGCCTGTGTCTTAACCGTTCACTTACCACGGCAGCAATTTCTGCTCCGGTTTTGTGGTTTAAAGCAGCCAGTACAATCGAAGCAATAAAGAAAAAGAAAGTGCTGAGTCCAGTGTTGACCAAATCCTAAAGAAAAAGATAAAGTCACTTGGAAAGAATTATTTTTCCGGGTTTGCCCTAAAAGCAGCACAATACCTGGCCTCTCTGATGGCTCCATATTTTAGTCTCGATGGCTCAGGGCTACTGGGCTCACAAAGGAAGGCAAAGATGATACCAGTTTATGATGCTACTTGATATGTCACCAAAGCAAAACCCACTTTTTAACCAACCGTGTTGTCATTTCTTAATGAATTATTACAGAAACCCAAACCACTAACCCACTTAGGACATGCACGTTAATTACCATTTTGAATTCTATTGTCAGCTTTTCAAACTGCGTTCCAATCACCTCAGCATTGACAGTGCTCCCCAGAAGTCCAGAATGTACTGAACCTGGCTAAGTGCCCTCCAATGCTGCCTCCCCCTCCCCCTCCCCATTCATTTGTGACTTGGCAAGTGCACAGGTTTTCAGACATAGAGAACACACTTAGCCAGACCTCATACTCCTTCTTATGCATGGTCTTTCAAGGCTCTCTATGGCGAAAACCTGAGGATTTTCTCCTAAGCTTTTTGCAAAGCAAACAAGGTTATGTATCCAATGCTTCCAAGATTTAACTCCTGTCTCAGCTATGGAGACAAAAGGAGCACAGCAATTAAGTGGTGCAGCCTAACGTGGGTCCTTCCTCACCATGACTTGGGACAAGCCATTTTGCTTCTTGTGTCTCATGTGGGGACAGTACCTCCCACCTCACAGAGTTGTTCTAGGGGTCAGGTGGAGCCACTCACAGTTAGGGTTCTCTGCACATTCATTGCTGCTTTGGTAATTACCAGCATGACAATGGGCCAATGACAGAATGCGTCATACCAGATCCCTCTATAATCTCTACAGGGAAACAAAATCCAGGGGAAATGCTAGACCATTTAAGTGTCAAGTTGACTGTGCATCAACACCATGTAGGTCCTTCAAAGGCCATCTCTTTTTTTTTCTTTAATATTTATTTGAGAAAGAAAAGGAACGCGCTCAGAGAGGTGAGTGTGTGCATGCGGTAGTGAGTTGGGGAGGGGCAGAGAGAGGGAGAGAGAGAGAATCCCCATCAAGTTCCACAATGACAGCACAGAGGCCAACATGGAGCTTGATCCCACAATCCTGGGATCATGACCTGAGCTGAAATCAAGAGTTGGACGCTCTACCAAATGAGCCACCCAGTGCCCCACCTCACCATTTCTTCTTTCCAAAGATGCAAAAAACCAACGTTCTTATGACAGAGGTACTGAGCCTGCGTGGCAGGAACCCCAGCCCACTGCTGGTATGCAGGGGCTCACAGAGGGCAGCAAGTGCTGGCTCCAAAACTCTGTCAGAAACTGTCTGCCAGCACGACAGTTTTCAGCTGTGGCCCATATAAAGCAAGAGAAAATTTTTCCCGAATTCAAACCAGGAAGTGTTTAGTTAAAATGCTCAGGTCTGGGGCGCCTGGGTGGCTCAGTCGGTTAAGCGTCCGACTTCAGCTCAGTTCATGATCTCATGGCTTGTGGGTTCGAGCCCCGCGTTGGGCTCTGTGCTGACAGCTGAGCCTGCAGCCTGTTTCAGACTCTGTGTCTCCCTCTCTCTCTGACCCTCCCCTGTTCATGCTGTCTCTCTCTCTCTCAGAAATAAATGAAACATTAAAAAAAAAATGCTCAGGTCTGGGTAAGGTGCTGTAGGGATAAAAAAGAATATAAAATGTACTTTCCAAAACAAAGACTATTCAGAAGTGGGGGGAGTTTTGTGATACATGCTGAGACGAAATATCAAACAAAATAGTATGTACATTATTGGTGATAGTGTAAAAAATAGAAATGTGGTCAAAGGCCTGTATGCATCAAAGATTTTAAAAAGGTTTGTGTTGCCTATGATTTCCACATTTGGAAATTCATCTTAAATATCACACTTAGTGCAAAGGTCTAAGGATGTTCATCATATTACTCAAAATAGCAAAAGAAAAAAAAAACCTCAAAAAACTGAAAGCAAACAAAATGCTCAAGAATAAAGGATTTGTTAAATAAAAATAAAGGATTTGTTCCACAATGGAACACTATGCAGTCATTAAAATAATGGTGCAGTTGTATATTTAACGGGGAATATACTTAAAATAGTTTAAATGAAAAAGCAGGATTCTAATGGTTCCACTTCCATCCCCCCCCACACATACACATATCACAACATACATGCCTACATGAAAGATAGTCTACATCGTCTGGAAGCTTATATCAAGTATTACAAGTGGTTATCCCAATGGGTTGTATCACATATGAGTTTTTAACAGCTTTATTGAGATATAACTCATATGCCATATAATATACCTAATTAAGTTGTACAATTCAATTACCACAATCTAATTTTATTTTTTTAATACTTCTTTATTTGAGAGAAAGAGAGAGAGAGAGAGAGAGAGAGAAAGAGAGAGAGAGAGAGAGGAAGGAGCAAAGAGAGAGGAAAGAGAATCCCAAGCAGGCTCCATATTGTCAGCACAGAGCCCGAGGTGGGGCTCAAACTCACAAACCATGAGATCATGACCTGAGCCGAAACCAGGGGCTGGACACTTAACTAAGCCACTCAGGGGCCCCTACCATGATCTAATTTTAGAACATTTTCAGCACTCCTAAAAGAAGCTCATTAGCAGTTAATTCTTTATCCCTCCCCTAATCCTAGGCAACCACTAACCTGCTTTCTATATCTTTGGATCTTCCTATTACGGACATTGCATATAAACAGAATTATATATTATGTGCTCTTTTGTGATTGGCTTCTCCCACTCAGTGTAGTCTTTCTAAGGTTCATTCAGGTTGGAGCACACATAGGTGTGCCCTCAGAATGGGCTTGGGAGCGTTTTAGTCAACAGTGGTGCTTAATTTTTTTTAATGTTTATTTATTTTTGAGAGAGAGAAAGAAAGAGAGAGAGAGACAGAATGAATGGAGGAGGGCAGAGAGAGGGAGACATGGAATCCGAAGCAGGCTCTAGGCTCTGAGCTGTCAGCACAGAGCCTGACATGGGGCTCAAACCCATGGACTGTGAGATCATGACCTGAGCTGAAGTCAGGATGCTTAACCAAATGAGCCACTCAGGCGCCCCTTTTCTAATGCTTTCAATGGGACATATGCTCTATCAGCCACACACTTTCCAGTCTGCCGCAGCCATCCCCGCTCCCTACAGCCTCACAATGCTGGCCACCACCTTATGCCTCCTGTCTGGCCCCTCAAACACCCAAGGTTGCAGCCCCTCCTTTGTGCTACGAGAGAAGAGGAAAACCACACTCACGTACACACACTCTCAGGTCTCTTCTTCAGTGACGCACCAGGAGGTACAGATGTGAATCCCTGTAACTTCAAGAACAGAGCAACAGGGTGTGGCCTAGAGGATGCAGACCCAAGACCTACTGACGATATCTGGCCCACAGACAGGTTTGACTTGCACAATGTTCAAAGCAAATTTGAGCATGCCAACATTTAAACACCAGAAAACTGTATACAAAAACTTCTTTAAAAAAAAAAAAAAAAAAAAAAAAAAGCTTCTAGCTCCTCCTGAAAAACTGTTCCAGAAGTGCCCTGTGGCAACCACATGATCAGCTGAGTGGGGGCTGACCAGAACCACCGGCCTGCCTCAGCGGTCTCCAGCCCCAGCGGGCCCAAGTCTACAACTCCGCGCCAGTCCCCGAGAACGGGCCATCCTGTAACGTGCCCCCCCACGTCCACACTCTGTGCCCAGGAGGTACCCACTCACCTCTCAAGGCCCAGTTAGAGTCTGGCATTTTCTCTGAACTTCCCCTGACTGACCCACTCCGGGCTCCTGCCCAGGGAATCCACCCCCTCCTTGCCTGTGTCCTGCCAGGGCTCACACAAAACTGTATCAAATGGAGCACAGGTGAGCTTATCCACAGGGGAGCAGCCTGCATCTGCCTGCCCTGGGCTTTCAGCTCCCAAGTCCTGGCACAGAGGAGGTGTCCCATTCGTGTTTGCTGGACCAATCACAGGTGAGACAGTTGTGAACATGTTTCGCCCCAGGCGGTCACTGCAATCGCTCCCAAACCTCAGGACTCTGTGGTTGGCTCTGCCGTCGGTTCCACACATGCATGAGAGAGCAAGTTCACAGCCACTCAGTCTATACCACACACAGAATTGTGCTCAAATGGCTCCAGTGTCAAAGGGACAATCCTAATACTGACTATAGTGGCAAATACTCTCCATGGAGTTCCTGTTGTGCTCCTGGGTATGTGTGTGCGCGCGCGTGCATGTGTATATAACTTCACATATAATAACCTAATTATGATCCAAAATATGTATAAAGTAGGACTTGTGTTATTTTGTTCTGCTTTTATGGGGAAAGAAACAGAGTCCCAGAAAGGATGAGTGTGGTATAACAAAAAATATATATTTGGTCTTTGCTCCCAGTTCCTTGGCATTTTCTAGGGTGACGGGAATATCTTTTTTTTTTTTAATGTTTTATTTATTTCTAGGAGAGAGAGAGAGACAGCGTGAGCAGGGGACGGTCAGAGAGAGAGGGAGTCACAGACTGAAACAGGCTCCAGGCTTTGAGCTGGCAGTCAGCACAGAGCCCGACACAGGGCTCGAACCCACGAACCACAAGATCATGACCTAAGCGAAAGTCGGACGCTTAACTGACTAAGCCACCCAGGCACCCCTCTTTTTTTTTTTCTTAAATAGTTTATTGTCAAGCTGGTTTACATATAACACCCAGTGCTCATCCCAACAAGTGCCCTCCCCCATGCCCATCTCCCCGCTTCCCCTCTACCCCACCCCCATCAGCCCTCAGTTTGTTCTCAGCGTTCAAGAGTCTCTCATGGTTGGCCTCCCTCCCTTCCCCTACTATTTTTCCCCTTCTTCTCCCCCACAGTCTTCCGTTAGCTTCCTCCTAATCCTCCTATACATGCAAACATACGGTATCTGTCCTTCTCTGCCTGACTTATTTCGCTCAGCATAACACCCTCTAGTTCCATCCATGTTGCTACACATGGCCAGATTTCATTCTTTC